ACAGTCAATATTTTGGGGCCTTGGTTTATCCAGAAAGTCACTGTTTACAAATGCAAATATATCTCTACAAATACTGGCGGTGGCCAGTGGCACCTCTCAGCCTCCAAGTAGATACACCAATGGTATCCAAAATGAAACTCCTACGTCGCTTCGTTCTCGAGTTATCACATTTGCAAACTTGTCCACATGGCCTACCCGCCTGCCAGGGTGACAACAGTACTTCATCAGTCTTTTAACGCTAATAAAAAGCTCATACTTGTAAGACATTCAGACTGTTTATGTAGACACATGTAGCCAAAGCCTCCTGAAACTGAACATGGACTACAAGCGGAGTAAAAACGGAAACTGGAAAGCTTCAAATTCCAGAAATCTTGCCGCTTGTCTACATACTGTGCATATTCATATGCAAGATATCTGTTGATAGAGATCACCATAACACAAAGCCAAAGATAATCATGTAACTATGTTCAAATATATGACATTTGTGTTATCAAAAAAAATTAAATGATGTCCCAATTATATTATTTTATAAGAAGACTCAGTATTGAAGTGCAATAAACTACATATATCTCTTTGCATTTACTATATCAATACTGTTTGCTAAAAGCAGAAAGAACTGCAAAAATCCCATTTTTACAAGTATTTTCTACACAGCAAAAAGCAGTTCAGCTACTTTTAAGAGCATTCTGATTGAACTTTTAGAAGAATGCTATTTACAGCAATGCTGTTTGAAGTCTTGTGACAATAAAAAAAGGAAAGTGCATTAAAAAAAACAACCAAAAAACAAAAACGGCCCTTTTAAAAAGAAGATCCCTGCATGTACAAAGTGAAAGACAGAATATTGTGTCATCAAAAAAAGATATGAATGATTTAATTCCTTGATACAAAATGCATAATGCTTATTTTAGAATGATGGACCTCAGGCAAAGGGATATTTGCAGATTCTTTTACAAGAATTCAATGTACATCCTTTCCACACAGCTTTTTTCCACCACCTTCTCGCGTACAATACATGCAGCATATGTACACAAATGAGAATCAATCAGCTGATTTGATGATGAAATAAAAGGAGATTGCCTCCAGTTGGTTTGGCCAATTGAAGTTTTTAGATTTTTCATCTAAGCCCTGCATCTGTTTGTGAAATATGGTAGAGCAGCCGCGCTCTGTGCAGCAGCACATTTATGGTAACCCAAACCATCGCTTTTCACCCCGCTGAAAATAAGCTGAATAGGTCAGACATTACCAACACATTAGTTGGACTGTGTGAATTACTAGACCATCTATTCTTTTAATTACTTTCCTACATCAGCTCCAGCCTTTTCAACCTTACAGTCACTGTCACCATTTGAAATTATATAACCATGTGCTGGAAATCTCCACTCCCCAAAATGGAGGAGCAGAGCCCCAGCTGCACGTGAGCCAACTGTAGATGAAGCAGTGGCTCAGCAGTGAGCCATGAGGTGTTTCTGGGGCCGGGCTTCACTGCTCTGTGTGAGGGGAGGGAGAATTAAAGCTACCGTTGTCGATGCCTCTCCTGCGGTCCAGGTACTGAACTCCTTCCAGCAAAGAGGCCATAAATCAGGCCGGCTTCAGGCCTCCCTTGAAGGAGGTTTTCATAGGCTCTGCTCTGGGCTTTCACTGGGTCAAGTACATTAACCTGGCAACCCTCCATGTCCCCATCTCCCAGTGTGAAGGGGGAATAAAACTGTCCTGACTTTGCATCTGCTCTCTCACCCTGTGTCCGGTCCTCAGCCAAATGCAAGGGACAATAAAGCTATGGACAGTGTAATATGACACATTATGCAATGAGTAGTTTGAGCCAAGTCTTTTTATTGATGGCAGACACATTCCAAATATGCTGCTGAAGCTCCATAAACTATAGGCTGCAGCACCGTTACACAGTTAGATGGTACCCGCTGCATGGAAATGCATGTTAATTATGATGGAGGAAAAAGAGGAAAAAGAGGAGGCATTGGGGTATATGGTTGACATCTATTTCAACCATAATATAATTTGTGTTCAGTGCAATGAACTGTGGCCCATCATATTATATTATAATAAGAAAAACTCACAGAAACAGTAACATATGACATACACTACACTACCACAAGTATTCACTCCCCTAGCCAAGTTACTTCCGTGGCCACAGGTGTATAAAATCAAACACTTAGGCATGCAGTCAGCTGCTGTGAAAGAATGGATCGCTCTCAGGAGATCAGTGAACTCCAGCATGGTACCTTGATAAGATGCCACCTATGCAAGGAGTACAGCGAGTCGTTCCTCACTACTGAATATTCCACAGTTAACTGGTAGTGGTATTATAACAAAGTTATGAAAGTGATTGGCAACAACAGCCATTCAGCCATGAAGTGGTAGGCCACCTGCTCAGGTGCATAGTGTTCAGATGTTGCCAGCTTTTTGCAGAATCAAATGCTACAGACCTTCAAACTTCATGTGGCCTTCAGATTAGCTCAAGAATAATGCATAGAAAGCTCCATAGAAGAGCCCAGCAGCTGCATCCAAGCCTTATATCACCAAGCACAATGGAAAGTATCAAATGCAGTCGTGTAAAGAATGCCACCACCATACTCGGAGTGATGAAGCACGTTTCTCCGTCTGGTGATCAGATGGATGATTCTGACTTTGGCAGTTGCCAGGACCGCACTGTGCCAAATGTAAATTTTGTTGAGGAGGGTTATTGTGTGGGGTTGCTTTACGGGAGTTGTGGTCAGCCTCTTAGTTCTAGTCAAAGGAACTTAATATTTCTGCATACCAGGACATTTTGCACAACATCACGCACTCAACTTTGTCGGAGCAGTTTGGGGATGGTTCCTTTCTGTTCCAACATGACTTTGCACCAGTGCACAGCGCAAGGTGGATAAAGACATAGATGAGCAAGTTTAGTGTGGCAGAACCTGACTGGCTTGAACAGAGTCCTCATCTCAACCCAACAGAACACATGTGGGATGAATTAGAGCAGAGAGCCAGTCCTTCTCATCTGTCAGCATCTGACCTCATGAATGTGCTTCTGGAAAAATGGTCAAGAATTCCCATAAACACTCCTAAAAAAAATCCTTCCCAGAAGAGTTGAAGCTGTTATAGCTTCAAGGGATTGTCTGGCCTATATTAAACCCTATGGAGTAAAAATGCAATGTCACTCTCGTTCATATGCATGTGTAGGCAGATGAGCGAATACTTTTGGTAATGTGTATGTATGTATTTGTAGAGGATATATAAGCAAGCAGTTGTGTATTTGCACATCCAGCACACGTGGAGGAAAAACAGAATTCATTTGGACTAATTTTCCCGACAAATGTGAGTCCAGAGTGCAATATTATAATATAATAAGATCACTTTTGGTGTCCATCAACTTTAGAAAATATGTATATTTTTATCTACTGAGTGCACTACTCAATTCACTAGTGAGCTTCACCACTGGGTTGCAGCTGGTTTAAAGTTTTCCTACTGCTTGCTCCAGCTGGAAACAACGCTAATGAGATCCTTGAGGCCTGAGTTGTAAGTTTGAGGTCTATGGTGAAATTGCAGACTGCACACACAAGCATTCTGAAAAACAAAGAAAACAAAAAACAGCTTTCACACCGGCATCAGTTGAGATGCACAAGGACCGATCTTGAAGGGAAGATTAGCCAAATTTAAATCAGGTAGGGTTTGTGATTGTGCTGAATGGAGACCCATCATCTATGCTCCTAAATGACGCTTTGGAGATTGCATTGGAATATGAAATCCCTGTTTCAACTCCACACAGACTCTTTACCAAAGCCTGCTCAAATATGATAAGACTACAAGCAGACTAGCGGACCTGAAAGCAGAAAGCTTTTGGGTCAAAAGAAGTCTCGATACAAATGCATATTATGCAAATTCATATGCAGATATCTGTTTATAGAGATAAACTGTTACTGTATAAACTGGAAATTACTGAAGTATTCCTCTGACTCTAACAGCATGATATCAGTGTTTTCGAATATTCACTGAGTCATGACTGTAAACACTTTTGACTCAAATTTCATCAATTGGACTCAAAGGATTTGGGGTTCAAAGACGTGATACCCACCACTATGTTCTTCCTTGGCTCATACATCATACATCACATGCACTCTTAATCACATATTCTGTCTTATTATCTTGCCAGCAGAGAAAGAACTAAAGCACACAGTGTATTCCTATATTTATGCATGTGTGTATGTGTTAGTAAGCTGAAGTGAGAATGTGACAGATTCAACGTGCCCACTGCACACGGTACCTTTGGACAGCCTCTATTCTATTCTGCCCATTTAACACGGTCCCAACGCTTCACAGCTTAGATACTGTCAGTCAGCTGGAGTGATACTACACAAGTAAAGTGTTACTAAACAGAGATGTGTTTTAGTACTAGGGAGAGCCTGGAGGGAGGTGTGGAGGAGGAGGAGGTGTTGGAGTTTGTTAATGTGAGCGCTGTTGAAAGAAAAGCCCTCTAACCCTCTCCTGTGTGTGACAGACACCACAAAAGCTCTGGCATCATATCTTAAATATGGGCTCGTTCTCACTCTAGTTTAATCTGGAATTTCTGCATTCTTGCTCCGAAAAGCACTCGCTGATGAATGAATGTCTGTCTACTTGGCTTTGTTCAGTTTATTGGGATTATCATAGCTGTGTTATCAATGTAAACACAACATCTCTAAACTACCGTTTAATCCCGATGATGCTCTACCATCCTTATTGGAACAGCAGTTCCAACCAATTTTCTGCTGCATTTCAATGTTGGGGAGGAAGCAAAGTAAGCAGTGATGCACAGGCCTGTGTCTCCCTGGTTATCTCCTCCAGCTCTTCTTGGGGGAATACGAGGGTGATCCCTAGCCAGCTAATGCATAATCTCTCTAGCATTTCCTGGGTCTTCCCTGGTGTTTCTTCACAGTTGAATGTGCCCAGTTGGATATGCCTCTTGGGTACCACTTGGGCATCCCAGTGAGGTGCTGAACCACCTTAGCTCTTTTCGATGCAGAGGAACCGCAGCTCCTTTCTGACCTTCTAATGAATGGTCTCTCCTGGTCTTATCACGGTCTCTGCCTTTGCGTGTAACTGTAACTCCCAGATTGCTGCTACGCTTCCTGCGAGTGGTGAGCCTACAGCAGGTTGGACCCATGTGGCTTATTATGTACAGAGTCCTTTCCCAGCCCTTGCTTCGGGGTAGTGCCACAACATTCATTCACCAGGCAATGTTGATATGTGCCAAGATGTTGTCTTCATAGGACTATTTTGAATTACACTTAGTCTGACACCTCACCCAGGACCGATTTACCTTGTGGGCCAAGGTGTCCCTGACAACATAGTTAAAGTCCTATGCTCATTTTTGATCCCTGATGAAGTGATGGAGAACCTAAAACCAGCTCTGAGATAAATGCCAAAAACCAGACCCCTGGTAGCTTAAATAATCAAAAATCAAAATACAGGTTTAAAAATCCAATCCTTAACTATACACCACAAAGAGAAATTCAAATGAATTTGAATTGATTATTTTAGTCTCTAATTGCATTTTGTGGAAAAACTACAAAATGCACACCAGTATCTGGGGATTGTTTTTTTCATTTCACTCAAAACCACAACATCTCAGTCTCCTGCCTCTATGGCGATTTCCAATTTTTCCTTCAAACGTCAATACTGCAGTGCCAGACGACAGCAAGTGATGCCGCTGTTTGGAGCCCGAGATGCTGTCATCACTGTCTGACTGCAGAAGGACCCACCCTGTCTCCATCCCAGGTGTCACAGATGGATGTAAACTGCGAGAGCCTCTGCGCCTTCGTATAGTTTAATAAATTCAGTTCAGTCTCCGTAAGAACAGAGACCCCACCCACAGAAAAAAACACAACGAAAATAAAAATCTGACTGTGAATATACCAGATAACTGTGTTATAAAACAATATTTTTTGAAAATGTGACATTTGA